ATAGCATACTGTCTTCAAGGTCCATCCATGTTGTTGCAAATGACAAGATTTCCTCCTTTTTATGGTTAAATAATATTCCATTGTGGGGAGATATATAGATAGATACAGATATAGATATAGATCATCTCTCCTTTATCCATCCATCTATTAATGAACACTTATTTTTTTTCCTATGTCTTGGCTATTATAAATAATGTTGCAATGAACACAGAAATACTGATATCTCTTTGAAATCTGAATTAAAATTCCTTCAAATATATATCCAGAATCAGCATTACTGGATTCTATGGTAGTTCTGTTTTTAATTTTTTAGGAACCTCGATACTGTTTTCCATAGTGACTGCACCAACATATATTCCCACCAGCAGTGCACAAGGGTTTTGTCTACAGCGTCATCAACATTTCTTATCTCTTGTTGTTTTGATACCAGCCATTCTAGCAGGTATGAGGTAATATTTCTTGTGGTTTTGATGTTCATTTCCCTGATGAAGAGTAATATTGAACACCTTTTCATGTACCATTTAGCTGTTTGTATGTTTTCTTGAGAAAATATTTATTTAGTTCCTCTGCCCGTTTTCTTTTTTTTAAATTTTTTACTTATTTCTGAGAGAGAGAGAGAGAGAGAGAGAGAGAGAGCACGCGAGCAGGGGAGGGTCAGAGAGAAAGAGAGATACAGAATCTGAAACAAGCTCCAGGCTCTGAGCTGGCTGTCAGCACAGAGCCCAATGTGGGGCTTGAACCCACGAACCGTGAGATCATGACCTGAGCCGAAGTCGGATGCTTAACTGACTGAGCCACCCAGGCGCCGCCCCCCCCCCCATTTTTTTCTAATTGGATTACTTGTGGTTCTTTTTTGTTTTTTGCTTTTTTTTTGTTTATTTCTTTTTTGGGGTTTTGTTTTGTTTTGCTACTGAGTTGTATGAGTTCCTTAATTTGGATATTAACCCCTTATTGGATGTGTGGTTTGCAAATATTTTCTCCAATTCTATAGGTTGCCTTTTTATCTTGCTTACTGTTTCTTTTGCTGTGAAGAAACTTTTTAGTTTGATATAGTCCCATGTGTTGATTTTTGCTCTTGTTGCTTAGAATTTGGTGTCATATTCCAAAAATTGTTGTCAAGACCAATACCAAAGGAGTTATTTTTAAGTTTATTTATTTTGAGAGAGAGAGAGAGAGAAAGAAAGCACAAGTGGGGGATGGTCAGAGAGAGAGGGAGAGAGAGAATCTCAAGCAGTCTCCATGCTCAGCATGGAGCCCAACATGGGGCTCAATCTCACAAACACAAGACCACAACCAGAGCCGATATAAGAGTTGGCTTAACTAACTGAACCACCCCAGCACCCCGCAAAGAGCTTTTTCTCTGTGTTTTCTTCGAGTAGTTTTATAGTTTCAGATATTACATTAAGGTCTTTCATGCATTTCAAGTTATCAGTGGTGTAAAATGGGGTATAATTTCATTTTTCTGCATGTGGTTATTCAATTTTTCCATTAAGTCTTCCTGGCTTTCTTGTCAAATATTAGCTGACCATATATTCAAGAGCTTTTCTCTGGGCTCTCAATTCTGTTCCATTGGTCTAGGTATCTATTTTTTTAAGGTTGATTTATTTTTGGGGAGAGGAAACGAGACAGAGAGAAAGTGAGCAGGGCAGGGACAGAGAGAGAGGGAGACACAGAATCCAAAGCAGCCTCCAGGCTTTGAGTCAGCTGTCAGCACAGAGCCCGACGCGGGGCTCAAACCCACGAACTGTGAGATCATGACCTGAGCTGAAGTCAGATGCTTAACCAACTGAGCCATCCAGGTGACCCTCTCTGTATCTATTTTTAATGCAAATAATACTGTTTTGATTACTATAGCTTTGTACTAAAGTTTAAAAATCAGGAATTATGATGCCTCCACCTTTGTTCTTTCTCAGGATTGCTTTAGCTATTTGGGGTCTTTTGTGGCCTTGTATGAATTTTAGGATTTTTTTTCTATTTCTATGAAAAATACCATTGGAATTTTGATAAGATAAGGCTCATTATTTTTAGCTTTTTCTTCTTATATTTTATCCAGTTTATTTACTTGTCTTCGCTGGGATAGTTAGTCCAAATTACCTAGACTGACATTACCAGAAGCAGAGGTATAAAATACCCTCCTAACTGCTCTCATTACCCTCCAATTCCTCCTTCACAAAGTAACCAGGGATTATCCCAAGGTACCACTCTCACTGAGTCATTCCCTTGCACAAACCCTTCAAAAGCTTAATGTTCATTCTAAAAAAAAAATCAAATTCCTTAGTTTATAAAATTGGGTCCAAATCTCTCTTTCTTGCTTCATTTACTGTACACTGAGTGTGTGGTGTTAACTATGGTAGGTTCTGCCTAATCTCTTGTCTTTTACCTCTTTTATCTTTTGTCTTACTCCAAACGTACCCACCAGTCCAGTCAAGCTGGAACATTCACTGTTGTGTGTCAGACCTGGGTCCAGAACAACACAGATGACCTAACTTCCAGGTCAGTGCTCTTTCCCCTACACCATGATCCCATATTCAGGTTTAAGTCTGTTCAATCTGTATATTTATGGATATTGTAATAAATTAACGAAACAAAACTCAACAAGTACAAATTATAGTGGCATTTTTGTATTTACTATTGCTTTTGGGGGTTTTTGCCTTGTGAGTTAGGAATTTAAACCAATTACCCTCTACGGAGAGCAGAAGTGGGGGAAGGCCTTCTGGGATGTAAGGTCTGCAAGTGAATTCATCATCATTGTCAACTTTTATCCCAATCTTCACAGTCACAAGGGTAACTAGAAATAAAAATTTAAGCTTTAGCCTTGTGCTCCATGAAAAATGAGGGACTGATTGCCTATGGAATTTGATTCCAGAGTGCTGGGAACATCCTGCATTTAAATAAATCTACTCCCATCTGCTGGTGATTGCCTGAACATCTAGTCAAAGTTGAATCACATCAAAAAACAAAAACAAAAACAAAACAACGTACCGGGAAATAAGCAAACCTGGAAACAGGGATTCTAGTTTGGGGTTTACTGTTATGTGACCTCAGGGCACCCCTTTTCCTTTTCTGGGCCTCAGTCCTGTATTACAATCCAGAGGGTTGAACAAAATGATCTGGAATGGCCATTCCACTTTTATCAAGCAAGGATTGTCCCTAGAAGGATGTGTGGGTGACTAGGGATGATGGGGGCATAACTAATAGCAACAGAAGTGGGTTCAATTGACCAACTTCTGTATCTGATAGTGACATATGGATCCCACCATCCTTTTTTACTTATGCACCCATGTGGAAAGGAGAGCATTTGCTGCAACGACAAGGAAAAGGGGAGAAAGTGTGAGGGTGCTCTGCTCTTAAAAGAAGGCAGGGAACAATGATAAACATTATTTAAAAGTTTGATTCTAAAATGGTTAAGAAAGCAGGGATAAAGAGTTAAATTACCCTTAGCTATGTGAAACACTCAGCCAACCAGGCAACTAAAGCTTTGCTAGGCACAAGCAATTCCAACTCACTTCACCAAATACTAGGGGAAAGTGGAAGAGGGCTGCATTTCTGTGTTAATGTTCTAGCTAACCAAGAGTGACCCTGAATTTAATTTTCACTGCAACCCTTCTCAGTGGCATGTCCTAGAAAGTTCAGTGTTTGTGAATGTGACTGAGGTCTATTTGCTGATTACTCATCTGGGACATGGGTTTGAGGGATGTCTTTCTGAACTTGTTTTGTCGTGCATCAAAGATAGGAAAGACAAAGGGGGATTAAGTGGAGGAATTTCCTTATCCTCTGACATCCTTTTGTTTCATAGGACAGTGTTTGAGGTAGTAGGAAGAATAAGAGCCCTCTAGTCAAAATCCCAGGCTTTTCCATGTGGTGGGGCCAAAATGCAAAAGCATTGAAGTGGACTGCTCTTCAAAGGCTAACTCCCTTGAATATCTAAAATACTGACTTTTGCATTCTTTCCCCTTCCAAGGTGTCAGCTCTGGATCCCTCAGTCCAACTCTGTATGCCCTGACTATGGGACAGAGTCACATCTCAGAGTGATCCAGGTTGGAGAACCCTTCCTGTTCCGTAAGCTTTGTCCCAGATACCTGAACTCGGGACCAAGAGCACTCTGAGAAAGTAGTCTTTAAGAGAGTCTTGGGCTCTTGGAATGCAATTTCCAGCCTGATAGAATCCAGTTTCCAGTCCTGCGTGGACAGAGCTCTGCCATAAAACCCCCTGGTGATCCTCTTCCGCTCCACTAAGAAGCAAAGTACGTGGGATTACTTGTAGGTCAAGGGTTTGGGAATGAGCAGCAGATATTTTCTGATATCCCAATGTGTCCAGCTCTTTCAGAATGCAGATTCGGCCAGGGCATTCAAATCACCTCTCTCCAGTCACCACAAACAAACAAACTCTTGAGCACACGCTCTTCCAAGAGGAACGTACACTTTGCATTTTTGCAGATAGGAAGAGCAGGACCCACTGGGAGCCCAAAGCCAAGGATCTGCGTCCCGCCCCCAGCAGCCAGATCCCGTCCTCCTCTCCCGGCCTGGCCCCGCCCCTGTCTGTGTCTGAAGCAGGCTGGGGGACGACTGCAGAGGCCTGAAGGGGCGGGGGGCTGGTGGCGCGCAGGCTGCGGGCGGAGGCATCAGCGCGCGCCTTTTTGTGCGGCTCCAGGCTCCCACTGGATTGGCTCGGTCAGTTTTGCCGTCGGAGTGGGCGGAGCCAGCCGGGATCCAGGCTCCGAGTCCAGTAGCCCAGGAGCGGTCGCAGACGGAGCGCACTTCGCAGCTGCAGGGTGCGCCCTAGGTCTGCTGCGTCGAGCAGAGCTTCTGGGGGCAGCTCCTCCTGGGCTCTGGGCTCCCGCTCAACCCCGGCTCTCCTTGCTTCCCACACACTCGCTACTGTCTCCTTACAGACTCCAAGCGACCCCCAGCTCCCTCTTGCCCCGCATTGCCTCCACCCCGTCTCTTACCCCAGCTGCGAACTGCCGTCTCTCGCGCCTTCCAGCCCGGAGCTGCGTGGTCATGGGTATCAGAGGGATGCTGCGAGTCGCCGTGCTCCTGCTACTCATCAGGACCTGGCTCGCGGAGGGCAACGACCCCAGTCCTACCCCAGAATTCCACTTTGAGCTCTCCCCAACTGTGCCCGAAGTCATCTTGAATCTCTTCAACTGGTAAGCGGGTGCCGCCAGCCTGGGCATGGCGGCGACAGGGACCGGCGGGCGATCTCGGGCCTCTTGGACGGAGCGGGCCACGGTATCTTGAACCCCGTTCACCGAGTCATGGAGCGCAGGTCCTGCCCGTCCGGTCCCTGGAGGGGGATGGGGTGGCATTCGGGGAGACCGGTGGAGATAGAGCTCTGTGCCTCGGCCCACCTGTTACCGCGGCGCCTGAGAGAGCCCCGCGTGTGCCTTAACTGCAGCCATTGGGCGGGGGAGGGGGGTTAGGACCATGCCCTCAACCCAGGATCTGCCGTGCACCCTCGGGACTAGGGCCTGGGCAGGTTTTCCCAGTCATTTCCACTGGCACCTGTGGGACTGGGAGGGGGAGCAGTACAGGGTGATGGACAACTCACAAAACATAGACAGTAGAGACACCTGTTCGAGTCCGGATTTTAGTCTGTTCCCTGAGGCACGTGCATGCGTGCGTGTGTGTGTAGCTGCACAACCGTATAGCCTGTGTGGCCCGAGATGGGTGTGCTTTTGTGCTTAGTCCTGTGAAAACATTTGAAGATTCAGGTGGGGTTTTTTTTTTCTGTTTGATTTCAAGTTTATTTGGGTCTGCAAATATCTGAAGAGCTATTAAACAGTCAGTCTTTACATGTAGATCACACAGAAATGTGCATTTGCAGTGGCCATGGATCCTGAGCTCTGGCATATGGACAATGTGTGGTACTAAACGGGCGGGAGTGCATTGCTTTAATTCGGGAATAATGCATGTGTACACTTTGGAGTGATGCAAAATGAAATTCTGTAATTAAAGATGATTGGAAATAATTTTTAAATGACAAACTAGAAATAACATATATTCAGAAAAAAAAGTACCGGGGGGATAGTTGGGCAAGGTTCCAGCAGACAGCCCTGCAGTGTCCTCAACCCAACATACCAGACTGCGCTAGTAAACGAACTCTCTCTTTCTCCTTCTCTCTCTCTCTCTCTCTCTCTCTCTCTCTCTCTCACACACACACACACACACACACACACACACACACACTACATGCACTATTTGCAGGGGCTGAGGTTTCCTGGTGCATGTGTCAGAGATCCTAAAAGTTATAGTGAAGCCCAGGGCCTATCCTCATTCACAAACCCTTTTGGGGAAAGAGCCCCACTGAAAGTCTAGGTGAATTGGATGAACCTCAGAGACTTCTAGAAAGGCCAGCTCTCTGCAGGGCTGAGCAGTATCCACTTACATGAGCTCACTCAAAACACGTCTAGGCTGGAAGCCTATGCTTAGCCCGAGAGATGTTTGCTCTCAGAATACATGTGTTTTTGAGGACAGCCCTTGAGCCCCCCAAATCTAAACAGTTTGCTTGGGTAAGGGTCTTAAATCCCTGCTACATGAGCAGGGCTCTCTCTCTCTCCCTTTTTCTCTCGCTCTCTCTGTGTCACTTCCATATATCAAGTCTTAAAAACAGAGTTATTTAAACACAAGATTTACATAGACGTGACCACAAAATGCCTGGTCCTAACCCAGGTAGGGGAGATGTCACTGAGGCTCAGGGAGTCACTGAGGGTGGAATCTGACCTTTCCTGAGGCAATCAGGTGCCCCTGGAAGGACTCCCACCAACCTGGAAAGCTGCATCCAGGCTGATGCCAAGGTGGGGTCTCTTAAACGGTTGAAGTGGTGCATTTATCTCAGGGCTGGAACCTGCCCATTCCCCCCCTTCTCTACTTCCTCTACTGTCTCCTCTCCTCATGCCCCCGCTCCTCCCCAATCCTGCCTGGTAACAAGTATCCAGTCTTTGTGCCCCATTCTCTAGATAAAAGCGGAAGAGGGGGAGGGAGAAAAGGAGTCTGCGTCACTGCTGCGCTTCTGGCTGACTCACTCTAGGGAGGGAGAGGAGCGGGGAGAGACGTGTACATGTATGACTGTACATGTCTGCATGCGTTCAGGAGAAAAGAAGGCCCTGGCAAGTTGACACCTGGGGTGCTCTTTGTTGTTTGTCCTCTGAGAAGCAATGTGGAATTTAGTGATGACCAGCATTTACTGATCATTTCTCTATTTCAGCAAAAATTGTGCAAATGAAGCTGTGGTTCACAAGATTTTGGACAGGGTGCTGTCGAGATATGATGTCCGTCTGAGGCCAAATTTTGGAGGTAAGCCACGTCCAGATACTAGAAGCCTTTGTGTGAGCTGGAATAGAGCTGAGGTAGATGCAACAAGACAGCCCCACTCAGCACTGCTGCCCACTGGCACTCCCCAGGCTCAACATGTTTGCCTCTCTAGACCCCACACTCCTGAGTCTGCATCTGAGCACTTTCAGGGCCCCAACCCTCAGGCCTTCTGCTCTGCCCTGGGAATTTCTCCCACTTCTCTGCCTTCTTGTCCAAGGGGTCTTTCTGCCCCTTCCCTTACAACAGCCTGAAGTGCACTCCCTGGTGTGGCTGGAGAAGCAGTAACCAAGAAGTGGGTGTGCAAGACAAAACTGCTGTCCTTCACAGGCTAGAGTTTTCTGCTACCATTTGTGGGGAGGGCACACATTCTTCTACTTGAGCACCCATTCTTTGCACCTTGGACACTTGTCCCATTCAGCTAGTTCAAAACTAACGGCATGGTCTTCTCTGTCTAGTTTACTTTACCCACCAGGGTCCCAGGCACTTCCACCTCTGCCACCCCTTCCCAAAGCCTTCAGCTTCCACCAAGGTCATTTCATTCAACACACTACAGTCAGTGTGATCTTTATAAATCCAGCCTGATCACCTCTCAAAGTTTTGATGGCTTAATTTAACTGCCAAATATAATCCAAATTCCTTAGCCTAGCAGTCAGACCTCAAAGCACAGAGATGAGAAATGACAAGGAAACTGAAACACAAACCTACAGGAAGCCAATATATAAGTTTCTCCTCTAATTCGTGCCTCACCCCCACTCTCGGAAAGGGTGACTGGACTCAGTCACACAGCTTTAAGGGACAGGCAATCTAGTCCAGCCCCACAGAACAGGAGTAGTATTATCCAGGGGCACCCAGGAAATCTGGACCAAGGGCAGACAAAAGGAAGGGTGCACTAAATAGAAGTTAGTCACATTTCAGCTCAAAGGAAACAGAAAGAGCTAAGAATCAGAGTGGCTGGCTGAGTGGAAAAAGACTCCACTTCCTGCAGGTGGTAGATCTATACACCTACTCTAAAGGGTTAATGAATGCTAATGATTCACATTTGTACGTATGAATAGAGGTCTTCCAAATACACAATGCCTCCACCCTAAAGGGCCCACAGCCAGGAGGTCTACATTTTAGTCGACCAGTACAGGGTGCTGTGGGTGCTGTGATTTGCCGGGGAAAGCCACCTGGAAAACCAAGGTCGCAAGCTTTGGAAGTGGGACACTTAACTGGTGTTGCTTTTGCTGTGTTGCTCCCTCAAAGTCTGAGGACAGAAGGTGCAATCCTGGATCTAAGGTGAGTATGCACTGGGCATTACAAAGCTGGAGTGGAGAGAGCAAAAGTCAGGCTCTTTCAATGTGGACATTCAGATGCTAGGGCACAGCCAGCACTCTATTGAGTGACACTGGGATTTGAACAGCAGCACCAAGCATTGGTGGCTGTCAAGGGAGTAGCTACTACACTTTCTCCTTTCCTAATTTTCATGTTTCTCAGCAAAGGCTGCCCAACAGCCATTCGCATACACCAAGCATACCCTTCCCACTGTTTCCGATTGCCACCCTTGCAGTCCTGCAGCATCAGAGGAAGGGAGCAGGGGCAAGGACTAGCCTCTGGGGATTGTCAGGTGTGGCTGGTCCAGTCTCTCCAAGGCATCTCACCAGTGTCTTTTGAGCTAACTCAGATTTGTTTACACCTGGTGCCTAACCTCCTGAGTTATACTAAGCTTTATGGGCATGTAGACCTGGGGTGTATGAGGAAAGCTGGGTCCTTGATTTGGCCAAACGGTAGATGGAGGTGGGAGAGCAAGGACAATGTAGGACCTTCTAGCATTTAGAGAGAAGGAAGTACTACAGGCTCCGTCTAGGACTGTTATATAGGGCAGGGAGGGGATTGCCAATCAATGAGACACTGGGTCAGGGGTTTCACATTTGCGGTAACCCGGCACTCCCTGTAATGCTTTCCACTAGACACAGAATCAAATTCCCCTCTGCGTCTGAAGTGATACAGAGATTCAAGGAAAGACACACACACACTCTACACACATCCCACGTGCAGAGGCCTCACCTGAGTGTGGTCAGGTTGAATGGGTCAGTAATGAGGCTGTGGGAGCCTTATTACTTCCTTGAGAGGAGGAGGAGGAGGAAGAAGAGGGGGAGGGAGAAGAGCCAGGGGAAATTAACAAAGCTGCTTCTTACTGGGCAAGAGAAGTGGGATTCCACAGTGTTGCAAACAGCAGGTCCTTGAGGACTCCACCTAGTTCAGCACAACGTAGGCACAGAGTGAAGGAATGAGTGGGACATCTTCATCATTTCTTCATTTATCTGATTTTTCTCTGGTACTCTGATGGCTGCTAGGGAGGACAAGGAGTTAGGGTAGCAAAATTTCCAAGAGGGAGAAAGTGGTTAACCCCTCTCTCCCTTCCTGAGCCCATCAAGAGGGAATATGAGGCTGAGGCCATCATCCCAAAGATAGCATTTAGACACCTTATGTGGAAACTTCTTGTTTCCCTCCATGGGATACCTTGGCTAATCTCTCATAAGGTGTCCCCTCTAGGTGAGTAAATTAGAAAACAGTTCCAGGTTTCCTTCCTCCAGGCTACATCCCCAGGCCAGGACTCATGGACTGCATTTCAGCTCCCACTTGCTTCTTCAACTGGGAGCCCTTGCACAGGGCTATGTCCTGGCCCTTTAGGGTTCAGGTTCAGGTTCTCCAGAATTCCACTGTAAGGGATGGGGCTGCCCGATTGGCACAAAATGGTCAAAGATGCAAAGCCTGACCCAAGAGTGAGTTGTGAGGGTATGGCCCTCTTAGGACTTGTTGCCTGCTTAACATACTTTCCACCCTCTAAAGGCATGTCGGGAGCCAGAAAAGCTATAATAAAGAACTACATTTCTGGAAACCTCTATCACTACATACAGTGCTGGGGATCATTCACAATAGCCCTAAATGCTGGAGCCTGGGCTATGGCCTCACTGAGAGGCCCATTTACTTCTCAGCTGCCATTCATATGCTGATGCCCAATCCCTTGTCACTGTTTGAAGCATTGGAATAGGAATAACCCCTTTCCCTCTTTGCAGCTCAGCTTCTGGGCCATCAGCGTGCAGTGAAGCCAGCAGGCTAAATTGCAAGTGTCACACGTGTTCCCATAGCAGCAGTGTGGTGTAATACATATAGAATAATGGCTTAGCTGTGGAGCCAGGTGAAGACAGCTTTGAGCCAATAAGAAACAGCAAAAAAGTGTTTTTCCACTGCACCTTACAGTTTACTACATATTTTCACATCCATTATCACATTTGAGTGGACAGTGCTAACACCTAGGCCAAAAAAGAAAGCCAGGAGGCAGAAATACACTCACACAGACACACATTCAAGCACACTCACATATTAACATACACAGACACTCTCACACATGCACTCATAGGAATAAACTCATGAGTACATTCACTCATGACTTCAGTATACTTACCTACACTCACATATTTACATATGCCCACACATCTGTGTACATACAAAACATGCTTACATGTTCACATACACACATGAATATATTCTCACAAGTACGCTCAAAAATTTATTCATACACACAAATTCATATACCTCTGCTCCCCCATTCACTTATACTTGCACACAAACATGCTCCCATGTACAAATACACTGCCAGATTCACTCACGCACATAGAAACATACACACACATATGCTTGGATATTCACACACATGGACATACTCACGTATTAACATGCTCAGATATTTGTCCATACACATAAATAACTCATTCATCCACATACAAAAAATGCTTGCACATAAACTGATGTGTACATGCTTACACATTAACATTATTGCTTTCAAACAGGCTCATGCATTCACCCACTCATGAGCTTGCTCATACACGTGAACATGCTCACATAAACATGCTCACACACTTACCAATTCATACAAGCAGCTCACACATTAACACACATCCACATCCACATATGCAGACACACTCATACATTCACCTATATCTGCACAATGACACACTGACATATGCAAATATGTTCATGGATACACTTGCACATCAGCATGGTCACACATTCAATTGCATACCAGCACACTCAGGTACGCTCATATTCAATCAGACACAAATATGCACACACATCCACTCAAGCACATAAATGGCTTACACAGACTCATACGCCCACATGTTTAAGTGTGATGAGTGTGAGTATGTAAGTGTGATCACTAATCATACATTCACAATGACAGAGACACATACAGTCACACACTCACAAGGTCACTTACCTTCCCAAACATTTACTTATACAAACACATTCACTTACACATTCCCTCACACATGCACTTAACGTGCCTACACACATACTGACACATGAACATATTCATACATATAGACACATCTATTTAACATGCAAACATATTCACATACACTCATGTAAACACAATTTTAACATACAAACATGAGCACGCATTTACTCACACGTGGACATGCTTACAAATACACTCACATGTGAACAGGTTCACACAGACAACCCACGTATTACACAACTACCACACAATACACTTAAATACATACACATTCACACATTCACTACCTCACAAACACACTTACATACACTCACACATTCACCCACACTTCCATATGAATACACTCATATTTATAGATATGCTCACACATTTGCTCCCACTAAACACTTGAATATTTCAATATTTATACATGCAGACATGGTCACATCCACTCATGTACATGTTCACACATTTATTCACACACAAACATGCTCACATACATGAAAACACCAATTCACTCACACACATGAATGTACTCATACATTAACTGATCACACCCACAGACTCCCAAATATATACGTGTTCACAGATTCACTTGCACATGAGCACATTCATACACTCACTTCCATACACTAACCTACCCACATGCTTGCATGTGCTTACACGCTTACTCACATGCAGTATATAAAAGCATACAAACATGCTCATGCATTCACTCACATGAGCACACAAATTATATGCATGCACATGCTCACATACACACTCACACATTTACACACACAAATAAGTTCACAACTACACCCATGTTTACACATTCCCTTGCACATTAACAAGCTCACATATACTCACACAATCATACATTTACTCATAGTTGCACACGCATACACACAAATACAAATTAATTTGCATATGAACACACACATTTACTAACACATAACACACTTAAGCACACAAATGGCTTACAGGCAGACGTGTTCAATACTCTCATGTATATACACTGACACATTCACCTGCATGTGAACACAATCACAGGTTTACTCATGCATGTGAATATGCTCATATACACTCATATGCACAATTCACACATTCATTCACACAAAGACACATATTAACTCACATATGAACACACATGCACTCACACAAATATGCTCATACACACCACAAATCTTACCTCTTGTTTTTGGGCTTATTGCTCTTGAGTTTTTATCAGAATACCATTTAGAAAAAGAGTGCTTCATCCCCCTATTGTCTCTTTATCTTACCATGACCCCTTCCCTGCATCATATCATGGGCCAGGCTCAGCTCTAAGTGCTTAGCTTGCATTAATTATGAGATCAGTGTTATCATTATCCTTATTTTACTCATGGTGAAACTTATGCTCAGAGAGATTAGGTAACGTTTTTTGGTAATTTTTATTTAAATCCAGTATAGTTAACATACAGTGTAATATTAGTTTTAGGTGTACAATCTAGTGATTCAATACTTCCATACGTTACCCTGTGCTCATCTCAACAAGTGCACTCCTTAATCCCCATCACCTATTTCACCCATCCTCTCTAGTAACCAGTGTGTTGTCTAGAGATAAGAGTCTGTTTCTTGGGGTGCCTCTATCCCTCTCTTTTTCCCTTTGCTCATTTGTTTCTTAAATTCCACATATGAGTGAGATCATATGGTATTTGTCTTTCTCTGACAGACTTATTTTGCTTAGCATAATACTCTCTAGCTCTATCCATGTCATTGCAAATGTAAAGATTTCATTCTTTTTTTATGGCCGAGTAATATTCCATTATGTGTGTATTGTTTTGTTTTTTATAAACAATCTCATTTAATATGGCAATTCTTATATATATGAAAATTTATTCTGGCATCATGCTTGCCTCTGTAAAAAGTGGGTCATCACTGAAGAACTCTGACAAATATATTAAAATATAAAAACCTGGGGCACCTGGGTGGCTCAGTCAGTTGAGCGTCTGACTTTGGCTCAGGTCATGATCTCACGGTCCGTGGGTTCGAGCCCTGCATCGGGCTCTGTACTGACAGCTAGCTCAGAGCCTGGAGGCTGTTTCAGAGTCTGTGACTCCCTCTCTCTCTGACCCTTCCCTGCTCACGCTGTCTCTCTCTCTCTCTCTCTCTCCTAGAAATAAATCTAAAAAGAAAAAAAAAAAAAACTATCAGTGCCTTGAGAAGGTGGCTTCGCACCTATATATACATTTGAGTGTGTGTGTATACTGTATCTTCTTTATCCATTTATCAATCAGTGGACACCTGGGCTGTTTCCATAGTTTGGCTACTGTAGGTAATGCTGCTATAAACATTGAGGCACATATATCCCTTCAAATGAGTATTTTTGTATTCTTTGGGTAAATACCTAGTAGTGCAGTTGCTGGATCATAGGGCAGTTCTATTTGTAACTTTGTGAGGAAGATCAGCCATTCTAGAAAACAGTATGGAAGTTAGGAAACTTATTCAAGGTCACACAGCTAGTTACGTGTTAAAATGGGGTACAAACCCAGGCAATCTAGCTCCTGAGTGCATGCTTTTATCATACGCTGCATGTAATAGTGTCTTCCCATTTGTAGGTGCCCCTGTGCCTGTGGGAGTGTCTATCTATGTCTCCAGTATTGAGCAGATCTCAGAAATGACTATGGTAAGTGTGTCACCTTCAGACATGGGCCTGGGGACAGGGGACATGTGGCAAGGTGTAGGGTCATAAGCCAACTCCACTTGTTCTGACTTACAACAGAGCCCACATAAATGACCATAGTAGGTCTTATAAACTATAGCCACGTGGAACAAAGAATAAATAAATCCAAATGGATTATAGATCTAAAAGCAAAAGGCTTATGAAGCTTTTATAAGATAACACAGAATACTGTCTTTGTGTCTCTGTGATAGGACTTCTTTAAAAAGACGTAGCAGGGCCCCTGGGTGGCTCAGTCAGTTGGGCGCCTGGCTCTTGATGTCAGCTCAGGTCATGATTTTGCAGTTTCTGAGTTTGAGCCCCACACTGGCACAGTGCTTGGGATTCTCTGTTTCCCTCTCTGCCCCTCCCCTACTCACACGTGCTCTCTCTAAGAATAAACTTTTTTTTTTAAAGTTACACTGCCCTTTTAAAAAAATAAAACATAAAAAAAGACATAGAAAGCAGAAACCATAAGACCATAAAAATAAATACTGGTAATTTCAACTATTTTAAATTCTATCTAGCCAAAACTTCTGGAACTTCTGTTTTGCAAAACAGACAAACAACGGGGCACCTGGGTGGCTCAGTCGGTTCAGCTCCCAACTTCAGCTCCCAACTTCAGCTCAGGTCATGATCTCACATGAGTTCAAACCCACATCAGGCTCACTGTTGTCAGCCTGTTAACATAGAGTCTGCTTCAGATCCTCTGTACTCCTCTCTCTGCCCCTCCTTCACTTGCAGTCTCCCTCACAAAAAATTAAAAATAAAAATAATTTAAAAAAATTTTAAATAAAATGTTAGGTTTAAAAAAAAACAAAGCCAGAATAACAATGTAAAAGGATAAGTCAAAGTGGACTGAGATATCTGCAACACAAAGAACTGATATTGAAAGTATACATAATTCCTGTGAATTAATAAGACTATTTTTAAAACAATAGAAAAATGATAAGAGGGGCGCCTGGGTGGCTCTGTCAGTTAAGCACCTGACTTTAGCTCAGGTCACGATCTCATGGTTCATGGGTTTGAGCCATGCATCTCTCCTCCTCCCTGTCCCCCTCTGTCTGTCCCTCCACACTTGCATGCGTGCTCTTTCTCTCTCTCTCAAAAATAAACATTTAAAAAAAGATTAGAAAATTTGTGAAGAAAACCAAGTAACAAACATGTGAAAATATACTTGACTTTAGTATTAGTCAGTGAAATGCAAACTAAGACCAGAGCAAGTACCCATTACATACCCACCAGATTGGCAAAAGTAAAAAATCAGACCATACCAGTGCTGGGCAGGCAGGAGCATTGAAGAATCTCATCTGTCCTCATTAGGGATGTAAACTCGAACTTCCACTTCATAATTCTTATTTCATGTTGATTTGGGTATGTATGGTGTGTTCACACAGTAGTGTATATATATATATATATATATAGTATATTCATATAAACAAATTTTAATTACAGACATCAACTTGAATGAATCTCACAAATATAATACATACAGTATAATTCTATTTGGGAAAAAAATTAAAAATAGGTCCAAGCAATGTTTCCTAGAAATATGTGCATAGACAACAAAACTCTAACAAACAGCAACAGAGCTATTATCATTAAGATCTAAGATAATGGATACTGCTGGGAGGTAGGTGTGGGGAATATGTTCTAGAAGGAACACATTGAAACAAAGTTATTGGTAATGTTTCATTTCTTAACCTGAAATTTAATTACATGAAGTTCAGTTTATTCTCTTTTTTTTGAAGTTCATTTTTAACATTTAACATTCTTACATATTTCAGTACTCATCTATATTTGTGATGTATTTCATACACCTTCATGCACGCACACGCACTCTGAGAATGGAAAGCGGGACAACCTCTCTTACGACTGGGATTCACCTTTCTCTCCCCAGGACTATACAATCACAATGTTTTTTCATCAGACCTGGAAAGATCCACGTTTAGCATACTATGAGACCAACCTAAACTTGACCCTGGACTATCGGATGCTAGAGAAGTTATGGGTCCCTGACTGCTACTTTCTAAATAGCAAGGATGCTTTTGTGCACGACGTGACTGTGGAAAATCGTGTGTTTCAGCTTCATCCAGATGGAACAGTGCGGTATGGCATCCGGTGAGTTTCCCCAGGCACTTGAGGACCATCCTGGCAGGCTTCCTTCTTCTGAAAGAGTATCCCATGAACACACTCTAAGAGACACACAGAGGAGCCCACTGCTTTCCACATCTGTCTTGTGCTGCCCCCTCCCTCATCCTACCTGGTAGTAAAGTGAAACCTTCAGAGCTTTCTACAGCCATCCTTGACCGACCTGTCCCCACAACTTGCCCATCTTTCAATCCCTAACTTAAATGCCCTCTTTGTCAACAAATCCTCCTTGATTATCTCAACTCGAAGAGCTCTCCCTCCACCTTAGCATTCTATACATTCTGTTATTTATCTTTGTTTCTCTTCTCTTCCATGCAGTGAAGGAGACAAATGAATGCTGAAGCCCATATGCAATGAGGGAAGGGGACCAATCTCTGCCATTGGTCATATTTGCATCATGCAGGGGGCCCAGGGTGTGCAATATATGTCTGTGGTCTATGGCTCTGTACACATAGAATATGCACATGCTGAAAATCCTCACTGGCTTATTTATAGCACAGTATATGGTCCCCAGGGCTTCCCCACAGCATCATCTCTTATAAACTATCACTTAAGACAAGCATAAGAGATAAATGTAGCTCAGAAAATTTCTCCAAAAGGTATTTGCACCAGGGTTCAGCCCCTGTCTCTGAGTCTCTCTTATTCTTGAGTGCTCCTACTCTATCCTTTGTTTCTCTTTTCTTTCCCCGTGATCCAAGGTGCTAGAGTTAAAAAAACAACAAGTTGGGGCAGCTGGGTGGCTCAGTCAGTTAAGCATCCGACTTTGGCTCAGGTCATGATCTCACGGTTCGTGGGTTCGAGCCCCGCATCGGGCTCTGTGCTGGCAGCTCAGAGCCTGGAGCCTGTTTCAGATTCTGTGTCTCCCTCTCTCTCTGCCCCTCCCCCGCTCATGTTCTGTCTCTCTCTGTCTCAAAAATAAATAAGAACTATTAAAAATTTTAAAACAAAACAACAAAGCTTGCAAGGAACAGTTCACCTGTCATACTTGTTTCATTTAAAGGGGGCCTCAGCTGATAAACGCTGTATGTAAGATTCATGGAAAGGAGACACACATACACACACATCCCTACCCAATGTACAAACTGGAAATGGTTTCAAGGGTTGAAAGGGACTAGGCTGGGATTAGCAGCTGGGAAGGGCAGGATAACGAACAGGGGAGAGCCTCCCAGCTGAGTCCTCCCACTTCCCTAGCTCCTCCAAGATCCTTCCTTAGATTCCTTCCATAGACCCACCATATGGCAACTTGAAGCCCCTGCCCAACACTCCATGGCCCACCTTAGATATGTTAATACCTCCTACCCATTTATACCTACTACTGGCGTTTTGCTGGGTTCCAGTGGCCCATGTGCTTAAGCAGATATGCGGAGATGAGAGTGCTGTGGGAGTACCTCCCCTAGCCAAAGGTCGGCCTAGACTACAGCTCACATCCATGCCTACACACCACATTCGGGCACTCCACATAGGATCAGGCTCCTCAGCTGCTCCAATGTAGCCTTGCTCCTTCTTCAGCAAGAAAATCCACTTTCTGTCTCTCCATCCAGTTTCTCAAGAGCCCTTCCCATTCTGATGCCCTGAGACTTCCTGACATGCCATACGCCTGTTCTTTAAGCCCTGCCAGACTTGTTGGCTTCTCTGTCGCATACACATTCCCTCTCTCCTGCCTACACAAGTGCAACTTAGCTTTCCTCTAAGGAGGAAGGGAAGAGGAAAAAGAAGGAAAGAAACACTGGAAGGGGAACCCAGTTCTAGCGTAGGCAGTATGGGAAGGTGTTAGGTGGGTCAGTACTTGGAGCACCTCTCTCCTCCACACCCCTGCAGCCTTCTCAGAAATGTTGTTTGCCTGAACTTGATTCGCTTTTCTCTTCCTTTTGCTTTTCCTTTGCAGACTTACAACCACAGCAGCTTGTTCCCTAAATCTGCAAAAATTCCCCCTGGACAAGCAGACCTGCAAGCTGGAAGTGGAGAGCTGTACGTATGTCTTCCAAGGCCCCATCTTTTCTACCTGGGGTTATGGTCATCCAGAAACCAAAAGCAAAGTAGACAGTGAGAGGGATAGCATATCTCCCATACTCTCTTCCTCCCCATTTTCCCTCTCCTCAATAAACAGACAGACAGGTATATACAGAGCATCTGGGAGAAGGTGGCCTTTAATGTGTAAATAGTCCCATGGGGAAATTGTACCTTGCTATTGGGAAGTTGTGTACAAGCTAGTGGGCAGAAGCACATCTGTTTGCTTTCTTTCCTGACTAAGAAACTCCGAAGTGAGGATTCCCTTTCCAAGTGCCCCCCATCTTCTGTGCTCAGACTCAGCAAATCACAAAGGTACCCCAAATGTGCAAGTTCCAACCATCCTTTGGGTTCCACAGACTGTTCTGGTGTAAAATTTGCCTATGCCTGCTTTCTCAGACTGACCTGCTTCTTTACCTCTCCCAGATGGCTACACGGTTGAAGACATTGTATTATATTGGGAAGGTAATGGGAATGCCATCCAGGGGACTGAGAAGCTGCACATTCCTCAGTTCAGCTTCCTGGGAAAAACAGTGACTAGCAAAGAGGTGTTTTTATACACAGGTGGGTCTGATATTCTCTCCTATTTCTTCTCTCTTTTGTACCCTGGTAAACTCCTGGACATCTCTCTGCCTTGACCTCTACACTGTGCTGCCTCCTCTCCTATTTCCTTCTGTCTCTGGACACCTTCCAAAACCCCTTTCAAAATGAGGAAGTAGGTGTGGAAGCACTTGGCCGGGTTTGACACTCTACAGGTGTAAAAGGTTCATGCTCTTGCTGATAAAAACAGGCCTCCTCTCAGAGCCAGCCTCTCCCCCTCCATCTGTTTGCAACTTTGAAATATCCTGTATCTCCATTTCAAAACTCCAGTTGACATGAAACAAGTGAGGAAGGAAGGAAAGAAGGAAGGAAGGAAGGAAGGAAGGAAGGAAGGAAGGAAGGAAGGAAGGAAGTGAGGGAGGGAGGGACGGAGGGAGGGAGAAGGAGAGAACAGACTCACTATGTCATATGGGCCTACTTACATGCCGTTGTCACTGGCCTTAAGGGTCAGATCTACAGACTGCCCAGGCTGGAATATTAGAGGCTGAACTGCCCATCAGCTTCCCCTCCTCCATCCTGTACTTCACCCTGAATGTCTCCTCAGCCCTGCCACCCTAATACCAGTATGTCTCCTTGCCAGGTTCCTATGTGCGTCTGATACTGAGGTTCCTGGTCCAAAGGGAAGTCACCAGCTACCTTGTGCAGATCTATTGGCCTACTGTTCTCACCACTGTTGTCTCTTGGATATCGTTTTGGATGAACTATGAATCCTCTGCAGCCAGGGTGACAGTTGGTAGGTCCTGTCCTCATCCCAGGGAGGAACTTGGATTCGTTTTGCTTAGAAAAATGTTGACAGTAAGAGAGGAATACCTGGAGTGGTATGTGCCTGCACAGGCAAGGAAGCAATATGGTGCCTGCCTGACAAACATTTATACAGGTGCTCAGCCAACTCCTAGCAGAGGCAGTGATGTTGGAGAGAGGTGTGAAAAAAAAAATCAGGGCTGGGATCTTGATATGTTGGCCCAAAGTATTAGAATTCATTATTTGCTGGATACATAAATGAACAAGTCATCAATTTAGATCAGAAACATAATACAACAAGGGCGCCTGGGTGGCTCACTTGGTTAAGCATCCAACTTCAGTTTAGGTCATGATCTCACGGCTCATGAGTTTGAGCCCCACATAAGCCTCTGTGCTGACAGCTCAGAGCCTGGAGCCTGCTTCAGATTCTCTCTCTCTCTCTCTCTCTCTCTCTGCCCCTCCCCTGCTCACACTCTGTCTCTCTCTCTCAAAAATAAACACTAAATTTTTTTAAAAAGATATTTAGAAGTGTAATACAACAAATATAGATTGAGCGACATATCAAAATGCCCTACTAGGCAGCAGAGGACTTCCAGATAAGCTTGCCCTCAATGAAGTGTCTAGTATGGAATGCTAAGATAGATGCTAGGAGATTCTAGAGGAGGAAATGATCCAGGTCTTGTCTAAAACGACACCAAGAAAATGTTGCTCCAAACTGGGTTTTCAACACTTGTGGGAGGCAGAGGGATAAGACTTGTCATTCACTAAAACAGGAAATTACTATTAAAAGGCACAGGGGCCCTAAAAGAGGACTAAATCACAGGGTGCCTGGGCCAGGAGCTGGGGAAATAGGGAGAGTAGCAGAAAGACAGGAGGTTGAATTGGAAAGACTTTGAAATTCCAATTTTAGTAGTTAGAACTTCATGTCCAAACTGGGGAAAACCAGAGGGTTTTGAGCAGTACCAAGGAGGAGACTAAGAGATCAGCTCCCAAGTTTATCTGGTTCCAGTGTGCCCCACATCTCCAGGTCTGATTTCTTTGTCACCATCTTTGGGGCAGACTCCTTGGCCTCCTTCTTTAGAGCACATGTTGGACTAAGCCTTTAAATTTTGTGTAATATTTTAAGGGCTCACAAACCTTTCTGATGGTTGTGATCTAAAGGAAGTCCTATGTGTTGGAAGGCAAAAAGAGGCTGGGGATGTAAGTCACTGTGAAATCATTGCTTGAGATTTTGAACTTGACCCTAAGAACAATGAGAAGTCACTGAATCATCAAAGCATGGGCTGGGTGTAAAGCTGGGGAGGAGGAGCAAAGAGAGCACTTGAGCAAAGTCCCCAGGCCTACGGAGTTGAAGGCATTTTGCTGAGAGCCTTCCCCATCCCAGAGATGATCGTTGCTCTTTTCCTGTGGGATGTGAACCTGATGGCTTGCCAAGAACTTCAGCCACCTGAGGATCCTAACACGGCCATGTTCTTTACAGGTCTGACTTCAATGCTCATCCTGAATGCCATCAACTCACATCTGCGAGATAAACTCCCCCAAGTTTCCTGTATTAAGGCCATTGACATCTATATGGTCGTATGCTTCTTCTTTGTGTTCCTGTCCTTGCTGGAATATGTCTACATCAACTATCTTTTCTATAGCCGAGGTGGATCCCGGCGCAGTCTCAGGCGACGCAGGAGAGCCCAAAGAGTAATGGCCCGCTACTGCTACGAAGAAGTGATGCTGCAGGTTTGGCTTTTTTGACTGACAATCAGCTTTCCCTGGTTAGGGATTGGGCACCTATTAAGCCTAAGCTTAGCGTTTGGCCCTTTCACATTTCTTAGATCCTTTTAGCCTCACATAGTACACGTGTGTGCACACACACACGCACATGCATGTGAACACACACACACTCACACACAGACCAGGTAGCAAAGAGAACAATTTATCATCACTCCTTTACATTGTCCTAAAGTCACAAGGCAGTAAGTGGCAGAACTAGATTTTCCCAGACCTTTTGACTTCAAATCCAGTCCACTTAGCATACTTTCCAAGGGCAAGTGATGGAACCAGAGGGAAGATGAACACAGAGAGGCTGAAAGGAAAAGATAGGCACCAGAGGGGTCCCAAAGCCATGCTGAGACTTCTGTTGCTGGTAGTACATCAATGTCTAGCAGTACCCCCTCCTTCACAGGGAGCCCAGCCACATTGCCTGAGGAGCCCTTGCCTCCATCCACTACACAGCACTCCAGAGGGAGCAATTGCCCCAGGGAGACACAGGCTTGGCAGCCACCATGGATTTCCCTTACATGCTAACAGCCTTTTGGTCCTGTTCTTCAGCCCCTTGCACGCCGGAGATCCCAGGAAGAGATGATTCTGTCAGTGGAAGAGATTGACAATCGCATTGCAATCGCTGATGAGGAAAGCCCTCTCCCTCCTCCCTCCCCACCACCAGTGCTTATTCATGTAGGATGTCAACCTCCTGACTTCATAAGTCTACCTACTATCCCCTTGAAGGGTGACCAGGTTAGCATAGAACATGAAAGTGGCTCTCCTTTCTCCACACCAGTGCATGCCTGTCTGGCAAGCGTCGGAAGCCTCAGTTCTTTGACCTCCATCCCAGGGCAGGCCCCACTGGCTACCTCAGAAAGCCTCAGCTCACTATCTTCTCTCTCAGAGCAGGCCTGGATGGCCTCTAGAGAAAGCCTGAGCGATCTTCCCTCCACCTCAGAGCAGGCCCTGCACAGCTATGGCATTCACTTTAGTGGTTTTGAGATTGATGACAGTGTTATTCCTACTGAAATCCGCAACCGTGCTGAGGCTCATGGCCATGCTGAGACCCGTGACCCAGAAGACCCTGAAGAGAACTTGAGCTCAGATGAGAGTCATGGCTGTGGCCATAGTGGGAGGCATCTGCGTCTCCACAGCTACAGGTGTGTACAAGAAGCAAGCTGTAGCCTTGATGAGATCCGTAGCAACCTTAATGAGATCCGTAGCAACCTTGAAGAGATTCGTAACTTGCCTGATGACATCAAAGTTGAGAGTGGCTACCTTCACCTTGATAAGCAACTCAAGTGTGATCTTGACAGCCTTAATGTTGATGATTTCAAGGGCTTTGACCAAGGCAAGGATAGTAACTCAGAGTCTGATGACAGTTGCCCCCCGAGTCCTGGGTGCTCCTTCGGTGAAGGGTTGTCCTCCAAGCTCTTTCACCCTGACTATGTCCCTAAGGTCGACAAGTGGTCCCGGATCCTCTTCCCTCTTGCCTTTGTAGTGTTCAACATTGTTTACTGGGTGTATCATCTCCTTTAGTCCCATAATGCTCTTTTCATGGTTCCTCTTGATTCTACTCTGCCTTCTTTTATTTGTTCATTTTATTTTGGGTTATTTGGGCAGTTGAATCAGTTCTATCTTTCTTTTTGTAAACATCATGTGGGGAGTGGTTGGAAAGGATGTGTTCTGGCTGGAAGGAAAGGTATTGAGGAGGAATTGGAGGTAAATAGCACGCTGATTTCCCTTTTCTGCTAGAAGACTATGACCTTTCCAAAGACTTCTGCCATTTATTAAGCACAGAAAAGCCCCTAGAAATGTTTGGAGGACAGATCCAGGTTGGGGGGATGGAGGAAGCATCCAAGCCCTATGCATAAACATTTCTAGGGGTTTTTCTATCCCACCAAGGTGTTGAATTTTCTTTTCCATTACTTTTTATCTTCTGTTTTTCCCTCCTAGGGATTATTGTCTTGTTCACCCCCTGATTAAGGTTTTACAGGACAAAGTCAAGCTGTGTTGAGCAGGGATACACAGAGGAAGGGCTAGCCATGGCCTTAAAGTGCAGGGGAAGTGGCATTGGGAACTTTGGGAAATTTGAAAGTGCCTCTTCCCTACTATTTTTTGTGTTGTGTTGAGTGTGGCATTGTGGTGTGAGGTTGGGAGGGGAATGTGAGTGGGTAGGGGTACTGAGTGAGATGTCAGAGTGAGCGATCATGTTTCCAGTGGGAGTTTGCAGGGGGTGATGAGGTCAAGTTGGAGATTACCCAGATGGAACTGGCATCTTTGGAAGGATTGGAACTTCTCTTGTCTATATTCTGGTTCATAGTGTTTGAAAATACAGCCTGAGTACATCTGTCTAGGTCAGATGCTGACATTATCACTAGTTACAGAGCAAGCACTTGATAGATGAAGACTAGGGTCAAGACATTTCTGACTTGCTATTTTATCATCTGGTCTAGAACAGCAGATGAACAATTGTTGTGAATCTCTATATAGTAATTTTATTTGTCTAGTGTATAGCAAGTGTCAACAAGCTCACTTACCCATCACAGTGTCACACCCTCACAGGAGTTCAGTGAGGCAAAAAGGCAAAGCACATTCTCCTCCATGTTCCAAGAGGAACAAATGGAGCTTATGTTTCATGCTTGAGGACATGTAGCCAGTGAGTCATAGATCCACTCCACTTGTTCTTCCTTCTTGTCCTCTTAACTCTCTCAACTGAAGCGCGCCCCTTTCTCCTTCCCCCTTTACAAATGGGGGTGCTCCATCAGGTTCTGCTTATCTGCCAGGAACCAGACCTCATTTGATAGCATCTGGAACATCTCTGCTGGGAAGTGGGCAGTGACCAGCCAATGAGTGTGAACTGAACACATGAAACATGAACACTGCCCACCCAGTGAGGCTCCTAAGGGAAATAGAAAGTAGCCTGCACTCCAACTTTCTTAGCACCTCATTAGTGGAGGCCATAGGGAACAAGATTTGCTAAGCAGTCAGCCTGTGTTTCTCCTTCCTCCCTAGACAGCTCTCCTGCCGCCCCTTAGCCACCTGCCCTTTTAACTGTGCTTTTGTGTTTGTGTTTCTGTGTATAGCTGAGTGCATGTGTTCATAAAAATAATTTTGTGTGCATGTACAACCATTTGAGAAGCTGTACAGCTCTATGTATATTAGTGTAAATCTATATTGGTGTGTTTAAGAGTGTATATATAACAATGTGTGGATGCATGTATGTGTGTGCACGCCCCAGGAAAGAGTATGTGTGCTTGTGTGTACACACATGGGTATATGCTGTGTGTATATGAGAGCATATGTGCATACCTATGTTTATATATCTGATTTGAATGGGTGTGAAAGGAAATACACCTGATAGCATATGTATTTCCTGTTGGTGGCTCTTCTGGAACCACCAGAATTCCTTTGGCCTGTTCCACATACGTGGGGGGGGCCTTATTTGGCCGGGCTGGTTAACTGACTGTTTCTTTCCAATTCCTTGTTCCAGGGAGCAGTGTCTCCCGGCCCCCATCCATTCTTCTCCTCCTCCCTCTGCCTATCTGTGCTGTCTCCTGGACAGAAGACACAGGAAAAGTGAATGTAGTCCCAGGAACTGACAGTTTAGTGCCTTGAGGTAGGAAGTGCTTGAATGTGAGGTAAGCTGGGAGTGCAGAGCATTTTGCTTTGTCCTGAAATGACATGCTTAAGTAACAAAGACAGGGATTGAGGGGAGTGCCTTGAAGATGCATTAAGAACAGAAACATGATGTGGACAATGGGTGGGGAGAGCTAAAGAACTGGAGAGGGAGTTGTATATAGCCTTTATAACTCGTCCCCTTATTGCAGTCACATTGTAAGCCCGACATGTGTGGGGGCTGAAGGCAGCCAAAAGCAGGTGAGTGATGTGAGGAAATAGCCCAGGGGATCAGCTGCAGTACTGGATACAGAGACCTAAAGGTGCCTTTCAGGGGCACTGTAACAAGCCATCCTGCATCTTCGGACAGCCTTGGATTTGGAGTCCAGAACTCTCTCTTCCTACCCACTCCAGGGAAAGAGATTGTCAGAAAGGTGAGAGGATTGGCCAAGGAGAGAGGTACAAAGGAGCCCTAGGGACTGACTGTCTAGATCAGTCCAGCTTGCCCTCTCTCTTCTTTTTTATACACACAGCATACAAATATAGCCTCCTACACATACACACCCACAGAGACCTAGACAGTCATGCATACATAAATACTTACCCTCAGCACTAAATGGATATATACAGAAACATACACACTCACATATAGCTACATATATATTCATATGCACAGTCACACACGATAACCCTCATATTTGTGTGCATGAAAACACACACACACACACACACACACACAAACTGATAAAACAGCTAAAAACAAAAAGTTGCCACTGAGATATCTATGATTGACTCTTTTTGGACACCCCTCACAGAAAGATACAGGTTGAGAGGAGAGCAATGACCCCAAATCTGAAGCCCCCATTATGGCTATCGAAAGGCTTGCTTCCTGGAGCCTAAACATTGGTTGGTTGATTTGAATTTGGGTTTCCAGGACCCTAGAGAACCTTTGAGCCCTGTAGGAAGTGAGTGACTTATTTCGGGTGTTATACAGAAAGACTGGAGCAATGGGGACCAATGCTGGAGCATTGGAGAAAGTGGGTTTGAAGATTGGTCTGGCAGCCATGCATAGGAAGGCTTCAGAGCATCGGGGAAGTGCAGAGAGGCCAGTTGTAAATATTTCTGTAGATCCATGTAGCTAGATAAAATCTTTATACCTTAAAAAGAACATCTGGCCCTAATGTGCTGCAACGAGAGCAGTTGAACTCTACTGCAACTCACACTGTATGAGCTTAAGTGTCAAGGTGAGGTGGAGGTTTGGCAATGACACCTTTGCAGAAACTTGAATCTTCTGAGTTTGTCATGAACTTGGTCATTTTAGCCTGAAAATTGCCAGATCTCTCCTTGTTGTGTTCTGTGTGTGTTCTATCGTCAGTGTCATTGTTGAGCCCTATCCTCAGCCAGCTGCCTACATCCCTTCCCACTCCTCACCCCACACCAAGTAACTCTGGAAGTGCAGAGCACCTAGCAGGGCACTACTGGGGTTCAGCCCACATAGCCTTTATTAACCCCAGCCAATCAGAGAGTGCTTGTGATAAGATAATTCACAGTTTGGGGAGAGGGAAGGGTCTTGTTGAGTCTGGGATGGAGCAACCCTCACTTCACTTTTCTGCCCAACTTTCCTTTCTCACATGGGCTATCCCATTAGCTTTCCCCCTAGAATTCCTTCTTCACCACTACCACAGGAAGGGCATCCTCTGTCTCTTCAGAGTGTCATTTTGTTGTGAGGATGTGTGACATATTTCCTACCACATTCTTGCCCATTCCATCTGCCACTGTGGGGTGCCTTTGCAGAGATAACAGATAATCTATTGAGTCTTACTGGAGCTTATAAAATGTATTCTTACAATCTGTGTCATCTTGTTAATAGCAAGGCTGTGAGGTCTTTGCATATTTACAACTGAATTCTGCTGAGACCATAGCCATTCCTAATGAGGTTCCTTTATTCTGTACATAAAAGAACTAACCCTTTGAGCTATTAACTAATGAATGCATTTGCTAAACTATCCACCTGCATGGTACCTTGCTTTAGTGATGAGCATCAAAGGAAATCTTGACTTGTCCTATTGAAAGTGCAGTGTGTTTGTCGTGTAGTGTCCTGTGATCAATATGAAATCTCTATTATCAGTGTTGGGTTTTCAGGGTAGGGAGCGGGGAGGGTGTTACAACGTCTCTCTGATATATTTCAATTATATTTCAAGATAATTATATTTCAATAGCCCCAGTTGGTGAGGGTCACCTCTGTTAACATGTGTGAGACTTTACACCCCCTATCTTGCCAGACTGCATCCCTGGGGTCAACAGTCATCAGCAGAACTGAAGGTGCCCAAGTGTAGTGAAACTGGCTGTCATGCCTAACTTCGGGTAGTGCAAGAGAATTCTTCAGAGGGCAGGCATGGCAGTGCCATTATGAGGCAGTTCAAAAACAGTAAAACCACAAACGTGGAAGTCTTCAAGAAAACCAAGAAAGAAAACCACATGTCTTGCTATCCTGAGTTACATAAGGATGCAGAATGGCAGAGACCCCCCCCCCAAAGATGACACGGTTCCCTCTTTGTCCTCAATAAATGTACATTTTTGCATGAAAAAGACCTTGACCAGTCCGGACTTCAAAGAAAGAAAACATGAAGAAACATAAAAATATGCTTCTGAAAAATATGCTGAAATAAAGGTTTGTAAATAGCCAAAAGGAGAAAATAAAATCAATATATATGATGTCAATTATACTTATGGGTTGTCGTGTTTCCTCTCTTGGATTGGAAGGGAGCTCCTTCTGTGCCCAAGAAGCCTCTGACTTTCATTGTTCACCTTTGCCTTCCCAAGGCTTTGCACACTGACCTTCTCATATCCTGAGATATTTGAATCCATGGTTTTCAAGCAGACTGGAAATATTAAGGTACAGTTGAAATTCATTTACACTTTCACACAAGCCATTTTAATCATATGAAACAAAAATTATAAAACATCTCAATCCATTGTGGTGCCAGAATACAATACGGACATTTATTTACACTGGCAGAGGGATCTTTCTTAAGAACATTTAAAATATATACATATATCTTTTGTGGTGCCTGGGTAGCTCAGTCGGTTAAGCGCGTCCGACTGCAGCTTAGGTCATGCTCTCATGATTGGTGGGTTCAAGCCCCACATCATGCTCTATGCTGACAACTCAGAGCTTGGACCCTGCTTCAGATTGATTCTTTGTCTCTGTCTCTCTCTGCGTCTCTCTCTCTCTCTCAAAAACAAATAAACATTAAAAAAATTTTTAATCTCTTTTGCCAATGTGGATGTGTAGAATAGAGAGCAAGAAAGCTCTATGGGGGTGGGAAATAGGTATGTTCAGATTTTAAAAACTTTGTGGAGTCCTGCACATTGTTAAAGCTTGAAGTTGAGGGCCCCGGCTGGCCGATGAATTCAGAAGGGTAGGTAGTATGCTACATGAGGGGCAAGTCTTTCACTAACACCACCAGGATCTCTGGCCCCAATGAGTGGGCTTTGATAGTAATTTTGCTACAAGAATAAAAAAATTAATAGAATTTTTAAAAATAAAAAACTTTGTAGAGTCACATTAAAACATCCTGCCACCGACCCAGAAGGTCCTTGTTGTGGCCCACATTTGTGATGCACCCACCTCCAAGCACCTTTTGATGAAAACCTTGGAGTTGCAACAGGAACCCTAACCTGGTGGCTCCTCTTCTGTGGTCCCTTTTGCGCCCAAAACAGGCCCACAGAGCTGTGCATTCACAGGGAGCTTCGCTGGTCTGCCCATGGTGGGAGGGACCTGGTGTCCTTACAAGGTACACACAGAAGGAGAAAATGCAGTTGGAGGTAAGGAGGAGTTTTCGCAGTATACCTGAAGCCTGCTGTTAGCTACTTAGTTCTTTTCTGGCTAGGTTCTTGCCACAGGTCAGGTTCTGTATTTATGTCTTACAAGTCAGGTTTTGAGGGTGGCCAGCGACCCCAGGTGGAGCTTGCTGCCCTTGAATGGTCCTATGGTCACTTGCTGCCTACTGATTATACAACTACCCTAAGGAATAGGTCAAAAGAAAGGGAATGTGACCTCCCTCTCCCTTTACATCCTCCCTTAGGGTGCAAGAGCCCTTGCCACAACTTCTCCAGGTTTTCAGCAAGGCCTCTCTTCCCAGCCTCCCCTGTTGGCCTAGCTTCCTCCAAATCCTGGCAAGGCCTCCCAGGGGCCCCTTGGTACTGCCTACCCAGTCCAGGTCTCTCCTAAGCTCTCCTGATCAGAATCTCAAGAGAATTAGTAATAGCAGATTTGTTTTATTTTTTTAATAACTGTAAGAGCATTTTTATACAGATGTTTAAAAGTAATAGGAGATAAGGAACTATTCATCATGAGACTCAAATGAGTTTCTGTCCAATGGTCTGGAAGCAGTTCAGAGACTGCATCCAATGTGGAAGTGCCAGAATTTGAACATGAACTCTTCCCATGGCCAGGCTAAGACTTGCTCCAACAGAATGCAGTCCAGCATCCTTGACTCTAGATTTCTCAATTTCAATTTACAAGTCAGCTTCTTAGAAAGCCTCTCTTTAATATCACATGAGAGACAGATGTTAGAAATTAATTGGAGATAGTGGACCCCAGCCCCCCCACCCTGCCTTCTGTCTAGAATACTCTGCATGCTCATGGACAAGACCCCAGTCACTTAGGGACTTCTTCCATTCCTCTCCTTTCCCAGCTCATTCTCACCCCAGGCCAGGTGCACCACTCAGAGCTCTTCCCATTAGGAAGATTTTCCCTCTCCACTTTCTTTCAAGGCCACACCCATGTTAAAACCAGCCAGGGCCCAAAGGAATCCAATACAGTCATAAGTGTAAGCTGGGGAAGGGGTGCTGGTGCAACTGTAGCGGGAGGTATGGGGTTCTGAGCTCTCTGCTCATGTAATTGAGTCTGCTACTACTCAGCCTGGAACAGGCCAGCATTAGTATGTCATCATGCTGTATCGTTGGATGTGAGCAGCCCAGAAGTACAGCCTTTTTGCAAATGCAGCTGAGGCTGGCAAGCAACTATGCCCCCCTACAGTAGATTCTCTTGCTAAACATCTGAGTGGCACACCTCCATGGCCACAATACAAACACATTTTACTATTGCTAATGTATAGGCCAGGACTCCAGGACAGTCTCCATCCTGGCACTCTACATAGAGGAATATGTGGATGCTTTGCTAAGAGAAGTGTGACCTCCCACCTTCCTCTCCAATGAGTAAAAGGGACTCTGCCCTCTCACACCAACAGGCAATGGCTAACCATGTGATGGCCAATTTGTTATAGGATAATCAGTGAGGAAAAGTTACGTGAGCTCTGCCTGAAATGACAATCCCAGAATCCCAGTAACTTAACCCCAAAGCATGTTTATTTCCATCTCATTCTATGTCTAATGCAGGTATCAGGGAAAGTTGGGAGTGGGAGGGAGGTGTCTCACATTAGTGATTAAATGCTATATTCAGAAAGGATATACATCACTCACACTCACAACTCATTAGCTAGAAATTATAGCCCAACCCAATTATGAAGAGCCAGGACATTTACTTTGCTATGTACCTAGGAGAGGTGAACCACATATCACTGAGAAGTACTAAGGACAACCGTTGAAGTTTCCCTTGATCTTTGCAGGAATATTATTTGTTCCTCTTCTCACTCAGAGGGTACCTATGTCCTCCTTTGTAATAGTCTCCTCATCTTTAACTTTGACACATGAGCCAGCAACATATATTAAAATTCCAAAATGCGGCCAATCATCAGTGAAAGTATTTACCATTCTTAAAGGAGGGATTTCTGGCCTCTGGACGAAGTTGCACCCTCCTTAGGGACAGGAGTCCAATTTGTCATTGCACCCACTGCGGGCTGACTTGGTCATGAGCAAAGTGGACCTGGAGATAATTCAAGCCTCCATTGAAATCTTTGACAAAACTACAGGTAAACTTCTTTTCGGATCTCAGGATTTCTGAATTCTTCTGAGAGCCTTGTCAAGACTGAGAGCAGCTGGGGAAAAATTAATATATGAAGCAGAGATGGGGTAAGCTCATTTATGAGCTAGCAACTCCCCATTGGTGGATCAGATGACCAAAATGGACTCTTTCTTCCTGTGGTTCCCCTCAGCTAATAAACTTATGGCCCTACTTATGGGTGATACCATTCATATTCAAAGAATGAGACTGGCCAGCCTGAAGCCTTTCTAATTCAGAGCTTCAAATCCTATTTTTATGGTGGAGGGACTTTATTAGATACTTCCATGAAATCCTGCCCAGACTGGTTGTAGTTCATGTGCTAGAGGAGGAGGTGCTCCCACTGGCATTTATGGAAGCTCCCTAACCATTGTGGAATCATCCTACTATCCTATCTTCTCCCCACTTAGAGTACCACTGACCTCAGGGAGAAGAGAGACCTTTCTGTTGCTCCATTAAGTACTCCAAGCCCCAGTAGTAGGGGTCTGCAGAAAGGGTTTTCTGCAAGACAACAGGATCTGCAGGTCACCTTAGCCAGAGTATAAATGGAGTGAGGCCAGGTCCTCCAAGTCCTTCCCCCTATCAGGAGCTCTCATCCAGGTTGGGAGGGAGGTTGAACTCTGCTCCCATCACATGTCAACAACTTGGCACTGACTCTAAGTCAGTAAAGGACTACTGGGCCTGTGCAGGGTGTCTGTAGTCAGCCCAACATCTCATTGTCATGAGTCTCTGGAATTATACTACCAAGTCATACAGGTATGACTATGTCAAAGATATACTCTCCAGAGCTTCAGAGACCAGCAGAAATATCGGTCCAGTAGGAGGCAGAATAAATATATTATTGTCCCAGTAGCTTTCTCCCAAGCCACTGCTAAGTACTAGGTCCTGCTCTTTGAAAACAGAGGCCCATGAAGGTGGCAAAGCCATCAATATTTGCAAGAAGGGGGCAGAGGAGCTACCATTTCCATTCCTCCTCCCTAATTCATATAATCTCTACCCTTTTTGTTACTGATTTGACCAATATCTCCAGCCTCTTTTATTCCTTTCCCCCCAGCATTATTCATGTCCTACTTGACTGGGATTACTGACTCTCCAGATGATATAATATATGAAGGATCATTTTACTATCGTGCATACTTACATGCATGGTTGAATATTTTTATTATAACAATTTTACTTTTTTAAGTTTCTCTTTATTTTGAGAGAGAGAGAGAGAGCATGGAAGCATGGAAGGGTCAGAGAGAGAGGGAGAGAGAGAGAAAATCCCAAGCAGGCTCCACACTGATGGTGGGGCTTAAACTCACAAACTGCAAGATCCTGATCTGAACTGAAATGAAGACTCGAACACTTAACCAACTGAGCCACCCAGGCACCCCTATAATAACAACTATAAATGTAGATTTTTAATTTCTCTGCAATTGATTTTTGTGTAGTGACAGGAGGCTTCCAGTGGCATTTTGTTTTCTATTGATATCCAACTATTTTGCTGTCATTTATTTGAAAGACTGTCCTTTCCCCACTGTTCTGAAATTGTACCATTTTCATAAATTAAGAGCCCATATATAAGCATCTTTGTCTCAAGGCTCTATTCAGCTTTATTAGTCTATTTGTTAACACCTGCATCCAAACCACAAATTTAATTACTATCATGAGAGTTTTAATAATTCCCACATACCTCATGGTATAACTCCTCATTTTCTATTTTCTCAAGAGAGTCTTGGCTAATTTTGGCCCTACTGCATCTCAATTTAAATTTTAGAATCATTGTGTCATGTTTTATACACACGTGCACATAAATATACACAGTCACCCACAAAGATTTTGGGTTTTTCATTGGAATTATAGTCGATCTATAGATTAATTTCAAGGGGAATTAACTTGTTCAAAATGTTGATTTTTGACATCCATGATCATATTATATTTTATATTTATGTAATTTTTCATTAATTTATCTAAATAGCATTTTAATATTTTTCCTATGAAGTTCTTGGGTGTTCTTCAACTAGAATTATTCTTGGTAGCTGAGATTTTTCCATGATAGGTTAAATTACATTTTTCTCAATTTCATTTTCTTTGTTTTTTAATTTTTTTAAATCTTTATTTATTTTTCAGAGAGAGAGAGACAGACAGAGTGCAAGTAAGGGAGGAACAGAGAGAGAGGGAGACACAGAATCTGAAGCAGGCTCCAGGCTTGACTGTCAGCACAGAGCCCAGTGCAGGGCTCCAACTCACAAACTGCAAGTTCATGACTTGAGCCAAAGTCAGACAGTTAACCTACTGAGCCACCAAGGCGTCCCTCTCACTTTCATTCTCATACTGTTTGTTGCTGTGGAAACAAAGTTTACTTTTTATATATTGATATTAAACTTTTATAAGTTTATAAACTTTTATATTCACTTTTATTGATTGAATAGTAACTTTAGTACTTTTGAATTTTCTTCACATGCAATCTAATCATCTGTGAATCATGGAAGGAAGCCTTTGTTTCTTGTTTTTCTGATCTCTACCTGTTTTGTTTTTCTGCTTTGCATTACTGTACTGGCTAATATTTCT